CCGCCTTGGCCTCCCAAAGTGCTGGGGTTACAGTTGTGAGCCACTGCACCTGGGCACTTTCTTGATTTCTTTTTCAGATAGCTCACGGGTGGCATACAGAAATGCTACTGATTTTTTGTGTTTATTTTTGCATCCTACAACTCTACTGTATTCCTCTATTCTGATAGTTTTTTGATGGTTTCTTTAGGGTTTTCTGTTTATAAGATCATGTTATCTGAAAACAGGGACAATATGGCTTCCTGCTTTCTAAATTGAATGCCCTTTATTTCCTTCTCTTACCTTATTGCTCTACCCAGGACTTCCAGTACTATGTAGAATAGAAGCAGTGAAAGTGGGCATCTTTGTCTTGTCCTAGATCTTAGAGGAAAGGCTTTCTTTCAACTTTTCCCCATTCTGTAGGATGTTAGCTGGGAATCTGTCGTATATGGCCTTTATTGTGTTGAGATGCACTTTTTCTATACCTAATTTGTTGAGAGTTTTTTATCATGAAGAGAGATGTTAAATTTTATCAAATGCATTTTTTGCCTCTATTAAAACTATGTTTTTCAATGTTGATTCCATTAATGTGATACATCATGTTTGTTGATCAATGTATATTAAACTATTCTTGAAACTCTGAGATGAATTCCACTTGATCGTGGTGAATGATCTGTTTAATGTGCTGTTGAATTTGGTTTGCTAGTATTTTGTTGAGCATTTCCACATCTATTTTCAACAGGTGTATTGGCCTGTAGCTTTCTTTTTAGTTCTTGTCTGGTTTGGGTATCAGGGTGATGCGGGCCATGTAGAATGAGTTTGGAAAACTACCCCGTCTTCAATTTTTTTTGCAATAGTTTGCAAAGGATTGGTATTCTTCCTTAAATTTGGTAGAAATCAGCAGGGAAGCCATCACGCCCTGGGATTTTCTTTGATAGGAGACTTTTTATTACAGATTCAATTTCCTTAACTCATTATTGGTTTGTTCAGATTTTCTGTTTCTTCATGATTCAGTTTTGGTAGCTGTATTTGTCCAGGATTTCTCTATTCTTTCTAAGGTTTCAAATTCATTGGCATTAACCAACCTACATAAAAAATTTAGATCCCCAAAATAACCCAACTTAATATTGAATCTCAAGGAATTTGAAAAATAACAACAAACTAAACCCAAAGTTAACTAAAGGAAAGAAATAATAAAGATCCAAGCAGTAATAAATGAAATATAGACCGAAAAAAGAATGCAAAAGGTTCATGAAACAAAAAGTTGGTTTCTTGAAAAGATAAAATTGACAAACCTTTAGATTAGATGAAGAAAAAAAGAGAAGATTCAAATAAAATCAGAAATGAAAAAGGCAACATAACTGATACCACAGAAATACAAAGGATCTCATAAACATGTGAGGATATCAATAAAGCACAGACTTTGATCCAGCAGGTTTGGGGTGAGGCCCATGATTCTGAATCCCACAGGCTCCTGGGTGAGGCTGAAGCTACTGGTCTGCAGACTACACTTCCCCAGCAGGGTCTTGGGTATCAGGGATCTCTGATATCTAGAGAAGGTAACTCTGATATCTAGAGAAGATAGAGTACAGCATTTGCTGAAAGAAAGACAAGAGTGCATCATGGCTGCAAAATCAGATATGAAGATATACACTGTGCCATCAACTTGGAAAGCAAAATTGTCATTGAATGGGCTTCCCAGGGTCTCCCCTTTCTTCTTGATTTGGTAAATATATCTCTTCATTATAGCAGCATCACTCATCAGATTCTCTAGACTCCCACTTAGAGATCATCACTCATGCCTTCCTCTGCCATCCTTGCTAGTTTTTTTTTTTTTTTAATTGGTTTAGCAATTATGAATCAAGATGGGCTGGAAGTGGTGGCTCACACCTGTAATCTGAGCACTTTAGGAGGCTGAGGCAGGAGGATTGCTTGAAGCCAGGACTTTGAGACCAGCCTGGGCAGCATAGAGAGACCCCATTTCTGAGTGTAGTGGTGTGTACCTGTAGTCCTAGCTATTCAGGAGGCTGAGGCAGGAGAATTGCTTGAGCTCAGTAGGTCAAGGCTACAGTGAGCCACAATGGTGCTATTGCACTCCAACTTAAGGGACAGAATGAAACCTAATCTAAAAAAAAAAAAGAAAAAAGAAAAAAAAAAGAGAGAGAGAAAAGAAATCAAGTGTGAACCACTTCTTGAGAATGAGTAGAGGTGTTTTTATATTCATCACTCTATCCAGTGGTGAGCATGGCATCTGCCAGGTTATAAATGCAGATGTAGCAGGATGTCCATGGCTCAGCCCTTCAAGCACAAACATCAGGACTGACAGCCCAGTGGTTGTGAGCCCTGCCTCTGAAAGTAGAGAACTCTGGGTGCCTATGCTAGCTTTCCTACTTACTATCTTAGCTTCAGTTTTCTCCTTTGTAAATGGGGGTGATAATAATAGCAACTTGTCGGGCCAGGTGCGGTAGCTCATGCCGGTAGTCCCAGCACTTTGGGAGGCCAAGAGTTCAAAACCAGCCTGGGCCACATAGACCCCGTTTCTATAAGAAATATAAAAATTATCCGGCCATGGTGGCACGTGCCTGTAGTCTCAGTTACTCGGAAGGCTGAGCTGTAAGGATCACTTGAGCCTGGCAGGTCAAGGCTGCAGTGGGCCATGTTTGCACCACTGCTCTCCAGCCTAGGTTTTAAAGTGAGACCCTGTCTCAATAATAATAGCAACTTGTTATAATGATGCAGATAAAAATGAGGCAATATGTGTGAAGCTTTTAGCTCCTGTGCCCACATACAGGAATTAGTCAGGAAATAGCTGTTGAAAACCAACCCTTGGCACAGGGAGGCATGGAGTCATGACTATTTGCTTTGTGTTTGGCTTTTTAGTCAGGTTTAATAAGGACACGAAAAAATGAATTCCTCATCTCGCCGTTACCTCAGCTCCTGGCCCAGGAACACAACTACAGCTCCCCTGCGGGTCACCATCCTCATGTACTGTACAAAAGGACAGCAGAGGAGAAGGTCCAGCGGTACCGTGGCTACCCCAGCTCCGGCCGGAATTATCCTGGTTACTCCCCAAGTCACATTCCCCATGCATCTCAGAGTCAAGAGACACAGTATCACCATCGAAGGTTGCAAAAGCAGCATTTTTGTGGACGACGCAAGAAATGTATGTAAGGAAACTTTTTCTTGTTCTGTTCTTATGTGGGCCTCGACGGGTTTTCCTGAGAGCTGTTGGGTGTACAAGCTTTGCAAGTCAAAATGGGCTATCCTGAGCATCTGTCTTGGCGTAGGACCAGTAATGATCTCTCTCAGGCAAATGCTGAATGATCAATTAATCTAGGTTAAACTAGGAAATATTTAGATATGGTTTCTCTTTTACTCTTTTAGTATCTCCTACTTTCATGCCATAGATCCCAATCTTATCTTGATTTCTGTACTCCTAAGAAAAGTATCTAGATTTCCAATGACAAAAGAAATGAGAGGTAAATGTCTAGGTGTGATTGGATGTCTCTTTTGAGAGACTTCCAGAAACAAGAATATTAGCATGTGAGGGAGGTAGCTGTGAAACACAGGTATCCTTGAGCATGGTTTGTGACCTTGGTACAACCTTCAGCTGTTTCCAGACCAGCGATGTCCAATAGAAATGTAACACAAACCCTAAATACAATTTTACATTTTCTAATAGCCACAAGTTTTAAAAGTTTAAAAAAAGGGTAAATGAATTTTAATACCATTTTATTTAATGCAACATATACAAAATATTATCTCAACATGTAATCAGTATAACAAATGGTTAGTGAGAGATGTACATTATTTTTTCTTAATAAGTTTTGGAAATCCAGTGTTTATTTTAAACGTACAGCACTTAAACCTGTCAATTCAGATGATAAATTTTTACTGGAAATACTTAATCTTCATTTAACTTGCATAAAATTAAGGTCAAATAAGTAGATTTGCATACTCAAGTTGTTTGGGACATACTTAAAACATTTTCTTTTTTCTTGTTTTGCTTGTTTTTTGTTTTTTGTTTTTTGTTTTTTGTTTTTGAGACAGTTTCACTCTTTCGCCCAGGCTGGAGTGAAGTGGCGCAATCTCAGCTCACCGCAACCTCCATCCCCCAGGTTCAAGCAATTCTCCTGCCTCAGCCTCCCCACTAACTGGGATTATAGGCACATGCCACCATACCCAGCTAATTTTTGTGTTTTTAGTAGAGACAGGGTTTCCCCATGTTGGCTAGGCTGGTCTCAAACTCCTGACCTCAGGTGATCCACCCGCCTCAGCCTCCCGAAATGTTAGCATTACAGGCATGAGCCACTGAGCCTAGCCAAAAGACTTTCAATACCTGAATCAAGTATTGCTTTTTAAACTTTTAAATTCTTCTGTGGCTCAATAACTACACGTGGAAAGTGTGTACCAAGTTGTATAGCACAGCCGGAAAAAGGTTATTCTCATGGAGAAGAGGAACTGGTATCACTAAGATATTAATCAGGCGGAATAATGAAAGAGTTTCTACCATTTTAACTGGTTTTTGAGTTTTTGGTATTATTGAAATATCCTCATTAAGGGGCATGTATACAGTAATAATTTAACCTGTACTAATGATAGTAATAATGTTTATAGTGGTAAGACATGTTTGATATGAGACATCAAAGCAAATCTTTACAGCAACCTTATAAACAGGTGTCACCTGTTTTCATAGATAAGGAAACTGAGACTCAAGGTCACTGTGATCTTAAGTGGCCAACCTGAGTTTTTAAATTTAACTCTAAATAATTTGATCTTTGAATTTTACTCTGTAGAGAGCTAGTTTCACTGTTATGGCTGGACCGGTGTTATAGTACTAATAATATTTCCGTGCTAGTTAGTACACAGGTACTTCCCTGAAGTTTCCAGATGCCATTTTTCTTCCCAGGAATGCGTGTAGTTGTTGCTATCCATTAACTAAAAGCATCGTGTCTGGCCCAGCAGGCACTTCTAGGTCTCTGCTCAATGGCTATGGCCAGTATCCATTCTGTTAACTTGGTGTCCACACTTTACCAGTTCTGAAAAGTGTTTAATACAGTTTTTAATATCACCCCCGACTATGCTGTTTCCCCGATAACTAAGCCAATATCACATCAAAGAGTTCTTACTGACCACTTCTTATGTGCTATGTGAAAGTCTGTGTTGATGAAATGAGAGTTTCAGACATGACCAGTATTTTAGAGCTGTTTACATTTTATTTAGAAAATGATGTATAAAGTTTTAGAGCTGTTTACATTTTGTTTAGAAAATAATGTATGAAGTGGTATATTTAATGAATTCATAAATAATAAATTTAGAGCCAAAGGATTAACACTATTTCTGCAGTTTTTGAGTAGAAAAATGAGCATTTTCTACTTTCAAAGTTTCTCCCCACAAAATTGATTTTTGTTGATCTGTTCTACTAACTAGAATTAGAGCTTGTTGTAGTTGTTGTTGTTTGAGATGAAGTCTCACTCTGTCATCCAGAGACTGTATCTCAAAGGTAAATGCATAGGTGTGGTTGGGTGTTTCTTTTGAGGACATAAACGAGAGACTTCCTTATGGAATGCAGTGGCGTGATCTTGGCTCACTGAGACCTCTACCTCCTGGGTTCAAGTGATCCTCCTGCCTCAGCCTCCCAAGTAGCTAGGATTACATGCATGCACCACCATGCCTGGCTAATTTTTGTAATTTTAGTAAAGACAGGGTTTCACCATGTTGGCCAGGCTAGTCTCAAACTCCTGACCTCAAGTGATCCACCCATCTTTGCCTCTGAAATTGCTGGGATTATGGGCGTGAGCCACCACGCCTGGCTTAGAGCT